TCAGGGCTGTGACCATGTTTCCTTATATTCAGGGCTGTAATCATGTTTCCTTATATTCAGGCTGTGATTATGTTTCCTTACATTCAGGGCTGTGATCATGTTTCCTTATATTCAGGGCTGTGATCATGTTTCCTTACATTCAGGGCTGTGATCATGTTTCTTTCCATTCAGGGCTGCGATCAAGTTTCTTTACATTCAGGGTTGTGATCATGTTTCCTTAAATTCAGGGCTGTGACCATGTTTCCTCACATTCAGGGCTGTGACCATGTTTCCTTACATTCAGGCTGGGATCATGTTTCCTTATTTTCAGGGCTGTGATCATGTTTCCTTACATTCAGGGCTGTGATCATGTTTCTTTACATTCAGGGCTGTGATCATATTTTCTTACATTCAGGTCTATGATCATGTTTCCTTACATTCAGGTCTATGACCATGTTTCCTTACATTCAGGGCTGTGATCATGTTTCCTTACATTCAGGGCTGTGATCATGTTTCCTTACATTCAGGTCTATGACCATGTTTCCTTACATTCAGGGCTGTGATCATGTTTCCTTACATTCAGGGCTGTGATCATGTTTCCTTACATTCAGGGCTATGATCATGTTTCCTTATATTCAGGGCTGTGATTATGTTTCCTGTCATCCAGAGCTGTGATGTATTTTGATCTTTCTTTTCCTGGTGTGATGGTCATTTCCCAGTTATTATTATATTAGAAACAGATACACATTATTGCAAGATCAAATTTGGTTGCATAAACAATAAAATGACAAAATTCAATGTTTAGCACTCAACTGCAAATAAATCAGGTGTGTGGGATTTGGATAGTCTGCTGTTAGTGCTATGGGATAATGACTTTCACAGAAGGCTACATAAATCTGTCTGTTCACCCCTTGTTAATTAGGTACCAGTACCTGTTTGAGATAGATCAGGGTCAGAAGTTCACATTCACCAAACGTTCTATCCAGTATTTATTGTAGGTCTCCATTTGTTTAGTTCTTCTACCTAAAAACATCTTGTTGAAAATTGCATAAATGAGCAGTACCACACCAATACAAAATTCTGTGTTATAGATATAAGTATGTCAAGTGGAAAAATACAAAAACAAGATTCTATGTTATAGATATAAGTATGTCAAGTGGAAAAATACCAATACAAAATTCTGTGTTATAGATATATAAGTATGTCAAGTGGAAAAATACAAAAACAAGATTCTATTTTATAGATATAAGTATGTCAAGTGGAAAAATATATACATCTGATGTTTTCAATATAATGAGTATATTGAGTGGACAAATTTGATTTTTTAAAAATCAAATTGTTAGCCAAAATAAAAGTTTCCGTTCTAGCTACATGTACCATTGAAGTGCTATGTGATACAGCACTCAGTACTTAAGGTGATAAAAGGAAATAGGAAGTACATCCCTAGTTGAAAATCCAATGTAGGGAGACGGTATCACAATTTCTGCATATTCTAATGTTTTATATTAAACTGATGAATATGGTATGTTTATTAGACAGAACAGTGTGTTCTCTTAATATTAGTGTATTTCAATGCAATCCAGGCATTGATTCAGTTGTTTTTTATCAATGAGTTGCATGTGTCCATTTTTCTGTACTTCAGGAAACCCGCTACCTATTTCACTACTGTGAAGTTTTTCAAGAATGATAACTCTTACATGCATTTTTATATCGTGTATAGAGAATTAATTTTACTCAATTTCAGCATCTATTAAATTGATATACATTAATGCAATACTAATCTATGTCAGTATCATTGTTATTAGCTCACCTGGTCCGAAGAAGGTGAGCTTATGCCATACCGTTGCGTCCGTCGTCCGTCCGTCCGCACATCAACAATTTCTTTAAACAACTTCTTCTTCTTAACCACTGTTTGGAATTCAACTAAATTTGACTGAAAGCATCCCTAGGTGGTGGGGATTCAAAATTGTACAAATGGTGAGGCTGACCCCCCAGGGGGCTGAAGGGCGGGGCCAAAAGTGGGCAATTTGGCTATATTGCTTTAAGCGACTTCTTCTCTGGAACTAAGATATGGATATCAACCATATTTGACTGGAATCATCCCTAGGTGGTGGGGATTCAAAATTGTACAAATGGTGGGGCTGACCCTCAGGGCTAAGGGGTGCGGCCAAAAAAAGTGTATTACTTGGAAATGATTGTGATCCCCACCATATAAACATACAATTGCTGAGTATAAAGAGAAGAGTGCACATTTGCTTCCAGGATGGCCCTAGGGTCTGGCCCCACCCTTGGAGACATAGTCTCTGGGCCATAACTTTAAACTGTTGAGATCCCACCCCAAAACTATATATACAAATACTGGGCATAAAGAGACGAATGCAGTCATGATATTAGAATTGATCCTGGGGTCTGGCCACAACCCTAGGGACCTAGTCTCAGTTGAAACAGTTGAGATCCCCACCCCATAACCATACATTACATTGCTGGGCCTTCGGGTCTGGCATATTCCCTTGATCTCATTTGGAGAATATTTTGCCATGATTGCTTAGGTATCCAGGTGAGCGATACAGGCCCTCTGGGCCTCTTGTTGACATTATTTTGCAAAAAATGTTCTTTACTTCAAAGCAATATAACTACAAATTAAAGAAAAATTCTACTGAGAAATGGTGACACAATCCTATTACCTTAACTGGTTGTACTAGAAGGAAAAATGTTCTGGAGTTACTATATAACGCGAAATTTTGCCAAGTCAAATACGGGCCTTTCACTGGTAAAATACAGGTTTGTCCAGTGTTAAAGTTTTCGTCGTATGCTCTCTACCAATATTTGCCGTCATATAAATTTGCCCTCATCAAAGAGGGTGAAAAAGTTAAAAGATAAACTGTGGCAAAAAATTCCTGGTATACAGTATTATATTTCTGATCAAATTACTAATCCGATATAAACAAGAATATTTAAGTGCATATAACCCAAATAATATTCAGAAAAAAGGAGTACATATCTTTGTCAAAGTTTTAGTGAATAGTGTTATGTTGTACCCATACTTCAGGCTTTGTACATTTCTATATATTTACAAAAGCTAGAGTAACAATTTATTACAACTTCTGGATGTTGTTGGTCCCCACTTGTAAATACCCACCAAAAGGCTTGACCTTGACCTTGATACCTGATTGCATCGTTAACACATGTGACATATCAACCATCTATTGTAACTAGTACACACATCTGATTCTCTCTGATACCAAGTATGATCTAAGTGTCCGATACCGAGTACGGCCTAAGTGTCCCATACCGAGTACGGCCTAAGTGTCCGATGCCGAGTACGGCCTAAGTGTCCGATACCGAGTACAGCCTGAGTGTCCGATACCGAGTACGGCCTAAGTGTCCGATGCCGAGTACGGCCTAAGTGTCCGATACCGAGTGCGGCCTAAGTGTCCGATACCGAGTACGGCCTAAGTGCCCGATACCGAGTACAGCCTAAGTGTCCGATACCGAGTACGGCCGAAGTGTCCGATACCGAGTACGACCTAAGTGACCGATACCGAGTACGGCCTAAGTGTCCGATACCGAGTACGGTCCACACAGGGGCGATGCCAAATTACAAGAATTCGTCAGAACTTTGCATATCCCACAATTTTTGCCATTCAGACTTGCATAATATCACTCTGACATGTGGCTCATTTCAATTCATGAATGCAATCTTCTTTTCACCCAAGATCAAAGGTAATTGAGACTTCGAACACTTTCGTTGCTTCTTGTTCTTATCTTTGGTTTTGATAGCTTTACCTAACAATAAGCTTACTGTCACTTGAGTTGTAGGGCAGGTGCTTGTTTCCAGATGGTATATCTTCATTACTTTTGTTTTATATATCTTTGGTACATACAAACATATTTTAATTCTCATGATACCTTTTTTTTCTAATTACAAATAATTATAATAATTATTATATTCCTATATTCCATTTTTCGCTAGAGCCACTAAAGTTCTTTTTTGGGATACACTACACTTTGAGTCATTTTTCTTAGTTCATATACATTTGAGTAGAACGTGCAATACACACAAAAGCTATCAAATCTTGATTTGTAAACGGTGAAACCAAAACTGAGTTAGCTCCCCATCAGCATGGTTTTCGAAAACCTAATCGTAATATGCAGCTATCTTTTTGTTGCACTTACATTAAATTAATTTTGTTCACATGTTTTAATTATTATGTCATAGGTATTTCAGAGTTGTCACCACACACATGACAACTCTGCAATTTGTCTTTTTAAAGATATTTCTTGTTTTCCTTTAAAAAATTTCAAACATTTACATTAAATTGTTTCTGTTTCTAATGAAATATAGGGTCCAAAGAAATTACCCGGTAGTTATCTTTTGTAAAAAAGCCCAACAATAACCCAGAATTCAGTTCTCTATGGCGAACGTTTGTTGTATTGTTTGATGTTTATGAGACAACTTCCTGCTAACAACAAAATTTAATTACTTTGGTTTAAGCAAGAATTGGTAATAGATGTGTTTGTATTCAAGTTGTTTAATGTATATATATATATGTTACAAGGTTAGGCTATCATCATCGGCCCTGACGAGGTTTAATACCCGATTACAGTATTTGACAGGTAATCATTCACATCCATTGTTTGTCCATTTCTATCTACTGTTCTGCAGGACCGAGCTTCTTTTAAGTGAAACTTCAGGACACGTGCCTATTGATGTAAATTACCGTCAAACGATCTTCTCTGTATACGTAGGTTCTGCTCAAACCAATACAGTTATTAATTATTAATAAAAGTGTTTTGAGATTTTCAAAAGGTTTCCCCGTCATCATCATCTGGCCCGGTGATTACAAGAAAGGAAAATGGTGATATGAATATAGCAGAACTTACAAGTGTTTTGTGTGAAATATTTATCCAGTACACCTAACCATTACTGAAGGATCAAGCGCGTCGCCAGCAGTCGGGTAACAATCATCTACGCTGATAACATCACCGTGCCTAATCTATAAATCAACAAGTCAACCATACAATATTTAAATTTTTTATAAGATTCCTTTTTGTATTCTTCTGACAATCTCGTAACTTCTGAGTATAACATGTAAACACACAGCCGAAAACAAATGTGTTTGGGAAAAACAAAAACATCCTGCAGTTGATTGTCAAGATTGCATTACAGTTAAGAATCATGCTTGATGCCTAGCAACGACCTTTGATTTTCTGTCTACACTCTTATTTTCAATAATTGATATTTTTTCATACACAGACCTCTATCATGTTAGTTGATGTCATGAATATTTCATAGGCTAGCATTGCCTCACTTCCTCGCTGACTGGCACAGCACTCAGTTCTACATTGAGTTATATCTGCCAAACGTTTCTACCATGCCTATGAAGGTATTTCAAATGTGACCTTCTCTGACAAGCAGCATACACACACAAGGTCATGAAGAAATGAAAGTGTTTTCAGGAGATAGTCTCAGACAGTGCTTTGCGTGCTGTAACAGCGACGTCAATTCAAAGTATACAAGCACTGTTTATTTTGGAACTGGAAAATATTTTGATTTCTTTTTAGGTCACAAACAAAACGGAAAATTAGGGCCAACATCAAACCTCAGTCATATTTTTTTCACCAATACTGATTTTTTTTATATGTAGACAAAGGATTTCTTGGAATGCTGACAAAAGTTCAGAGTCATAGTAATACTAAATCAATGGCAGTATTCACACCCTTGAAAGTTTGTGACATAATACAGTGACATTATAAACAGACATTTTATCGGCTAAATTAACACTTGGTCATCCAATTAACCACTGTGTAAAGGCCGGATCATCACGGAACAAAAAAAGTTCCCCTAAGCACTAATCCTGAGGAGGAAGTCAAAGTAAACTTAATACATGTAGTTGATCCCACTTAACAGTCATTCTAAGCAAACAAGCAATATGTTACAATTTTACATGCATATATACATTAACCCTGTGAGAAAAAAACACTTATTTTTCAAATAGCTAAATATAAGCAACCTTGACCTTTGACCTTCAGTCCAAATAGTTTGGAATAATATGTTGTTGTTCTAAATTGCATCATTGATAATCCACTGTCTGCTTAGTTTAAAAAAAAAGCCAAAGATGTTCCTATACAGACCTTATCTGTTTACAGATAATTGGTCTCCCAGTAGCTGATTTGGAAAAAAGATACAAGCTCGGCATTCCCTCGAAAAAACAATCTGACAGAAGCAACTTGTAGTAGTATTATGTAATTATTTTATCATAAACCTTCCTGTCAGTGAGGATTTCTTGGGTTTCTCCTCATACCTGAGTTTGATATTGATATCCATCAAATTAAATCATAAACAAGATTGAATTTAATTATCTAAGAGATAAAAAAAAAAATCTTAAAAACTTAATCACAGTTTTGGAGATCATCATTTGATACCCTTCCCTTAGTTGAGGGCTCGGGGGTACATAGTAATTACTTTGTCATTGTCTGCATACCTGTGTCTGTAGTAAACAGCTGGTGTAAAAGATAACTCTTGAATACCTCATTGGATTCAGTTCATATGTACACAACAGTATTGAAACACCAAGTTCTACACCTGAATACATTATGGTCATTGGTCAAGGTTAAAGGGTCAAAGATCATACTTGACCACTCTAGATCTGTAGCTGGGAGGGTATCTGTGTCCGCCCCAACACTATGTTTTGATAAGAGGAGATCGATCTAGACAGCTAAGGTAGTCGGGTGGTGTGGAGGATAGACTAGTGAACTCGGCTTTAACCAAGATGATTAGGATATGATTCCATATTTGGGTATGAAAAGATAATTAGGTTACTTGTCCAGCCATTTGTTTTGGGTACTCCAGTTTACACCCATATTAATACCTCCTGTGCACTGCCATCCAGGCCAACAAGAAACTTGAATAAATATTAATAAAACTTGTTCCTCTATTTGGTGTAGAATAAAGATGATTACACCCCAACTTTTGAACATGTTTACACCTCATTTCCTTGCCATGGCTGTTTCAGTTAGACACATAAAAAAAACACTTGAACAAATAATTTGGGTCTCTTAAGCTTAAATCTGACAAAATTTTCTATAATTTGACATGAACAAGTCTTGAATCACTGAAGAAGTCACTTGTATAGATTAATTCTTTAAGTAATGCAGTTATATATAATGAACTAGGTTGGATATTGCACTTGGTGTTTTTGTGAGCTGCAATTCGTCAGTTATATGACTTTTCTACATCAGCAAGAAACAATCATTATCAAACCAATTACAAATTTCTCAAATTTGTTATAAAAATATTTCACTGTTTGTTTATAGTGATGATTTGTGGAGGCAAACATCACTTAATACTACCTCGTTAGTTTAGGATACATCCCCAGTTTGGGATTGGCCAACGAGGTGATAACAAGCGGTGTTAACAGTTCTCCCCAATATCAAGTCTTGTCACACTGGTTAGCTGACATTTATTAGCTCTTCATGTTGTATTTTCATGCGTTAAGTGGTTCATCCCTTTTCCTCCCTCTTTCACGTATAGCTGAGCCAGCAAAAGCAGAACAATAGTAATTATCAATTGACTCAATCAATCATTTCCACATTACATGCTGCCGATTTTGTAAGTTGTGAATCATCCTGTAATATGCCACGGTTTCCCATGCGTTATTGGCATATTTTCGACTTTTAGGTAATTTGATTAATCAGTCATAGATCAGGCGATGTAAAAGCTTTTCATTGTACGAGTTGAGATTGTCCACAAATTAACTGATTTATTGTAGCTAGAGTTTGTAGTGGAGCCTGCCTGTTATTGTGCCTCTGTTAAAGCTTGGTATTGATCCCATTGCAGGCGCAGCAACATCAGCGCGAGTGAAGAGGCAGGTATCGTTAGTTAGTCACCACAACTTCGACAAAGAGCAATATTTCTCATCAATATTATGCTGGGAATTGTGTACATATACACTTGGCCTTTATGGGACAAAGGCTTGGCTGGTGCTGCTCTGTAGCCACTTAACTCTCCGCTTCCTGGTACATCTCCGGCACATCCAAGATCCTCCTTATGTATCCCGCATTCCCTGAAACATACGATACACACCATGATACATTGGATACATCCCACATCCCCTGAAACATACAATGTATCCCACCATGCATCAGATACCACCATCATTCTCAGATAAAACGGATAAATCCCATGTCCCTGTATACAGCAGATATATCTCACATCCTCTGAGCATATGACACGTTCCACAATACTTTGGATAAACAATGAAGGTATTCCTATCTTAAAGTCTAGCAATTGTATATATATGGTTATAGGGTGGGATCTCAAAAGTTTCGATGCTATGACATAGAAACTTAATCCTTAGGGGTGTGCCCAGACCCTGGAGCTAATTCTGATAGCACAATTGTGTTTGTCTCTACATGCACAGCAATTGTATTTATGGTAATGGGGTAGGAATCTCAATCATTTTCATGTTGTGACCAAGGTATTAGGTACTCAGGGGTGGGATCAGACCCCAGGGTAAACCAAGTTGCTTTGTGGTGCTTGAGGTGGGTGTGGTGGGGATCTCATGAAGTTATTACCCAGGGACTATTAGGTCTCCACGGTGGGGTTGCACTATAAATCTGTTGTGACCCCAACCCTCAATCCCTTGGAAGCCAGCCCCTTTCCCTTTGATTACACAAAAATTTGAAGGCAGATATGGGAAAAAAGGGAAGTTATGGGGTACTAGTATATGGAAATGGTCACATGACAATCATTTTATCATATAATACACATCTTAAAAATATTTTAGTACCATGTAAAAGTTATTTAAATTGAGTATAATTGAGGCAGGATTTTTAAATGTGTTAAATCGAAAGTAAAATGGATAATGTATGTGCCAGCAGAAACAGTGTGTAAGGGCAGATGAGGGTCAGTCCAGAATACAGCCTATGCACAGCTAGCAGTATTTCTCAGGTGAAACAACTCATATCACAGACAAATATGTACTTAACCTTTAGCTTATACCCAATACATTTACCAAATATTCAACATTCACGACAAATGCACATCACATCTCTGAAACACGTCACATTCCCGCAAATCCCACAAGCCAACCTCTATTACTGTCAGGTTAGACATTACGTGTTCCTCGGACACAGCTGCTACATATTGGTCTTATGACAGTTGAAAAGTAAACAAAAACAAATAGATTGAATAATAATTGATCCTATATTCATAGTGGGGGAAAGGGACTTGAATTTATTGGGTGAAGGGCTGAATAATCCAATGTATTGATGGATTCCGGACAGACAGACATATCATCATTACGGACTTAAATTACGACAGTAGTGAGATGGCAGTGAATAGTATTGGCTTGCGGTGACCTTCAGTACATCAAAACCGATGCTGTGAAATTGAGATTTATCCAGCGAGAGAAACCGAGTGGATTCCACTTATTGGATATCCGACATTGCCTAGCACTGGGGCTGTATCATAGCAGAGTATCTGTCCCCGACAAGCAAACATCATTACAACATTGATTTGTGTCTGTATGCAAAAGTGAAAATCAAATTTGACAAGTTTTTTATCGTCCTCCTCAGACAATGACAGTATGTAGATAAAGGATGATAGACAGAAAGAATAAACACAGTCGCGTGTGCTCAAGGCTTTAAAACACAACATGTCCATATTTAATCACTATACGTCGGGGTCTCCTAAACCCCTAACCCATTTACACACATCAAGAAGACTAACAATACCCGTTCTTTTACTTACCAGATGGTATGCTCGTCTTATAGTATTCTTAGATAACACCTGCCTTGGGTGAAAGACATATTTTTTCTAAGGCTATTAATGTTCACATTAATTGATTTTTAAAAGATTCAGCAATTATGGTAAACTTATTAATTGTGAAAACCAAAATTAGGATTTATTTTATAGGACTAATACTTATGTTACGCCATCGTAACATAAGTATGTTTATGCAGTCAAATCCTAAAATTAACACAGCTGGAAGATGGTTACACTCTCTCCAGATCTAAATCATTAAATATTTTCTATCCTTATATGGTTAAATACCAATGTCCTATTCTGTTTATAGTAAAAGTATCCCTACTAAGTTTCTTCACGAAAAAGTATCACAGAAATTCCTATTCCTGTACTTTCAAGGTTTCCTACAGTAACGATGAACTTGATCATTGGTGACTCCGACTAATGGTATTCTCATCTGAGAAATCTATTCGGAAACTAAGAGAACTTGACAAGTGATTAATTTCCCATAGCAAAATATTTGCAAAGAAACAGATTTTTGTAATAATTAATCGTAGTAGATATTGACATTTGACGATGCAACTGACCATAAAGCAAGCCCTGCAGACATCTTCTGTTGACCCGAGGCAGTGTAGAAACTGACCCGAGGCAGTGTAGAAACTGTAAAGTTCAAAGTGATCTACTCATGTGATCAGTACAAAACACTGACACAAACAGGTTCAAAATTTTTTCAGATTTCTTAACCAAGAAGATAAAACTGAAGATTATAAATTGGAAGATGACAAATTTTTAAAACAGAAAGTTGACAAAATCCTTGTTATGTTGTAACAATGCATTTTTTGTCTATTCATTTCTGTAAAATTCTGCAATGGTAATAATCCTGAATAGTTATTAAATTTTGTTATAGCTATTAAAATCTCAAAGGCCAATCAAAGGTAACATTACATCACTGTTAATCCTTCTCAACCAATCAGATGCTCTGTTCCAACAAGATGTAATGTGTTGGGAATCATGCTGCCATAGATTTAAATCTATAAAATCCATGAGTGTGATAGTGTTTTACCACTATATTCAATTATATGGGTATTTTAAACAGTTAATTATGCTATGAATTTTTCCATTATTAAGTTTGAAAATGCCTTTAAAACTTTCTAGACTCACTTTGTCTTGAAGGTGAGGCAGATGTAAAATTAGAATGGTTTGGGATATTATCAGGTTTTCTATAAAACTAGATATCAGATTTTGATTGGCACATGTATTTGATAAGATGCAGCACCTTTTGAGTAAATGAAATAAACAATTCTCAGAAGAAAAGTAACATACACATTTAAGTCAGAATAATTTTACCTCATTATAAAAACAACTCCTCCTTAACTGCTAAATGTTTAGTAAGAGAAAAAATCAATATGGTTTTTGACTAGCTGAGGAAACTTTCATCATCTAAGTTACAAATACATGTCAGAAGATGGCTTGTTGGAGCCTGTCTGTAGTCCCTCAGCTAGCCTCACTGATGGGGATATGTACATCCCTCAGAGTTCATGTTACTGCAGGGGATACTTATGTCATTATCCCTCAGCTAGCCTCACTGATGGGGATATGTACATCCCTCAGAGTTCATGTCACTGCAGGGGATACCTATGTCATTATTCCTCAGCTAACCTCACAGATGGGTATGTGTACATCATTATCTTTCACCTAGCCTCACTGATGGGGATATATACATCGTTATCCCTCACCTAACCTCACTAAGGAGGATATTTAGGTTGTTATCTTTCACCTTGTACTCCAGAGGGGATATGTACATCATTATCAGTGATAATCACTCAGTTAAACTCCACTTACTTCACTGAAAGGATATGTTTGTCATTATCACTCAGCTAACCCTATCTTAATATGAGGGATATTAACATAAACTGCCGTTGAGCTAACCTTTCTGAAATGGATATTTATATCAAAAGATTGAAAGATATTTTATGATGTAGGGGCAGTTTATTATGTCAATACGTTTTCTAGCTCCTACAGGACCTGTTTGGGACAGAGCCTGTTTGGAACAAAAGATGTACATGTTTGACGATCCTGATGTAGGGCCTGTCTCCCAATGTCAATATGTGTCCCGGGTCCTGCTGTGAAGGCGAAAGATGAGCTATGTTGTCAGTGTGTGGGACGTACCAGGTTGATAAATATCACCCCTACATTCCTCATTCTCTACGGATTTCTTTTGATAATGACAGAGATTCTATATTAATTCAGTGAACTATGATAGATTTAAATTTCAAGTCTCTGATGTTGGTCTTTCTCTTTCAAGTACAGACCACTATCATACCTGTAGGTCAAGCTTTGGAAGCCATCACACTTTTCCCCTTGTCCTTATCTGACACCGACCGACTATATCTTATTACCTGTGTGTTCACCAAAAGTCCCTGCTCAAGTTTCACTTGCTTACAATAAATCTGACTAATACATTCTCAAAAGAACTTAAAAAAATCTTTCTAGTTACCAGTCAACAAAGCGGACAAAAATGCTTTGATTCAACTTGAATAATACTTTTTATATATTTTATCATAGATGTCTGTAAATGAATAAAAGACTTCCAATCTATACACTACCAGTTATGTAATCAGATAGGAACTGATGAATAAAATACCTTATTTGAACACCTATCTAATGACAAATATATAGTCATTATAAACTATAATGCTAACCTGCATTATCCAACAATCAACAAAGAGTAATACAGGCGACGAGAAGGCTCTGGTGACATTGTGCTGATACACATTGATAGTCACTATCAAGTTTCCTAAATCAGCCAAGTACAGGTCACAAACAAAGGAACTCTTCTGTTTAAAGTCACAAAGTAAAGGAGATTTCAACAATCAATGTCCTGTTCCATACAAAGAAACAGACAATATCAAGTCACATATAACAGACAGTAAAGGAAACAGACAACATCAAGTCACATACAACAGCCAGTAAAGGAAACAGACAATATCAAGGCACATACAACAGCCAGAAAAGGAAACAGACAATATCAAGTCACATATAACATACAGTAAAGGAAACAGACAATATCAAGTCACATATAACATACAGTAAAGGAAACAGACAATATCAAGGCACATACAACAGCCAGAAAAGGAAACAGACAATATCAAGTAACATATAACAGACAGTCAAGGAAACAGACAACATCAAGGCACATACAACAGCCAGAAAAGGAAACAGACAAAATCAAGTCACATACAACAGAAAGTAAAGGACACAGACAACATCAAGGCACACACAACAGGAAGTAAAGGACACAGACAACATCAAGTCACACACAACAGAAAGTAAAGGACACAGACAACATCAAGTCACATACAACAGAAAGTAAAGGACACACAACACATCAGTCATATACAACAGACAGAAAGAGTCTGATGCAGGCATTCATAAACCATAATTCAAAAATCACAAAGTAAAGTGGACTCTTAAATATAACAAGACAAGCACCTCCAGATAAAAGTAGAAGGCTTAATAGATGAGTGCTCTCATATGCCAAAGAATACAGCAAAACACAAAGGGGTCTATTAAACAGTGTCATATTTACAAGCAATGTTTATCATCCATTTAACTCTTAAGATGAAACATAATTCACGCTTTCTCATTCCACGGTTTATCGGTCATAACAAAAGCATATGTAAATACTAAATAAGTGTACATGAGGCTTAAATTAAATTTGACGTTTGAGGGTATATGCATGCACCTTTGTTGTGTATTTGTCAAGGCCTTGTGTAGAAGCTGAGGTGTTTTCAATACCAGTAAATATCATATTACACTTGAGAGTGATGTTGATTTGTAGACAGACCTGGTGAGGCTAGAGTGGGTGTATTTGTACATTTTGGGGTGTGCACCTCGGTTATCACTGCCTCCACTAATGGGTCTGCCGATATAGACGACATACATCATAAAAAATGCCAAATGGATTTCTCCATCCTTACCCTGTTGATAATAATATTTGCCTCTTACTTAGTGAAATGGTATTTACATTGCTATATTGACATTTGATATCTTAAACCCTCTCATAGGCAATATTAACTTTAGAAAGCATTTTAAGTGAAACTTCTTGCATAAAAACATCTCGCCAAATATACAAGGAGATGAATGCAGAGACATTTAAAACATTTAAAATGAAAAACTAGCAAATGTAATTTGTCCAATATATTCAATAAAGAATGCAATAAGATTCTTTAAATGGATGGAAATACAGACGTCTCCCCGACAGATTGATAATACACCTGAACAGAGGATGACCTCTGCACTGAACATGTCATGTTTTCAGTACTTAAAATCAAATCACAAAGTGTATTTGTGTTTCCTAAGGATATGAAAAACATCAATGCTGTGTGTATAATCATTTTGAAATATTTGCTTTGAAAATCAAAACTGCCATAGGAGAAGTAACAAACTGAGTAGGTAGTCATACACAACTGTTTATATTTACCTACTGTTACCTATGTATACTATTGGATCTCTGTTCAATCTTGCATTGTTATTATATACAAGGTACACAGCATTAATATGCCAGTATTGTAAGTCAGAGTTAATCGTGTTAGAGAGGCAGCTACCCAAAGTTTCTATGTACCAGTTATCTCCCCTTACACACACTTGTCTACCTGTGTTACAGACTTGACAGGTGAGACAGAGGATAAGCTGTATGACAACAGGTATAATCTTTTATCTCCACAATAGACCAGTCTACAAACACGTCACCTGACCTCGGGTAACTCACAGGTAAGTCATTAACGAGAAACACTAGCATCACTTGGCCAGTCCTTAGAAGGAGATATATGTTATTAAGTATGCTAAGGCTACAAATAGGCCTCCCTTGCTACTTGTGGTAATCAGGTAACAGATACTCAACAAATCTTGGCTGCAATCTACCTTTGGGTGTTTTTCGAAATGGCTGCTGAAATAAAGTACTGACAAAGATTAATTTCTATAATCAATACCTCCTCTTTTCATCCCCTATTCAACGAATATCATGCTATTAAACTAAATTATTTCCCAGTCAGGATGTATATACAACAAAGGAAATCAATAAATCTGTAACTTACCTGTGAAGAAAGTGCCCGCCTGGCTCATACTTCCAGCACTAATTAAACATTAGCCGAGCTAATTGATCATGAAGAGGCCGTCTCATTACCATATAACTTTTGTAATTTACTTTTAACAATTTCATTTTCTGATGTAGTTACTGAATATTTGATAGAAGTAGTATTTTAGCAACATTGAATTTGTTTTCCCACTTTTGTATTTATTTCTGTATTTATGTGTTAAATGTCACATACTCCCCTTGTGTCTGTGTGTTTAGTGCCATTCCTCCTTAATTTTGCCACTCCTCCGGTATCTGTGTTTAGTGGCACTCCTCCTGTATCTGTGTTTTGTGGCACTCCTCCTGTATCTGTGTTTAGTGGCACTCCTCCTGTATTTGTGTTTTGTGCCCCTCCTCCTGTATCTGTGTTTAGTGGCAATCCTCCTTTATCTGTGTGTTTAGTGGCAATCCTCCTGTATCTGTGTTTTAAGTGTCGCTCCTCCTTTATCTGTTTCTGTTAAGTGGCACTCCTCCTATATTTGTGTGTTTAGGGGCACTCCTCCTGTATCTGTGTTTTGTGGCACTCCTCCTGTATCTGTGTTTAGTGGCAAACCTCCTTTATCTGTGTGTTTAGTGGCACTCCTCCTGTATTTGTGTTTTGTGCCACTCCTCCTGTATCTGTGTGTTTAGTGGCACTCCTCCTGTATCTGTGTGTTAAGTGTCGCTCTTCCTTTATCTGTTTCTGTTAAGTGGCACTCCTCCTATATTTGTGTGTTTAGTGGCACTCCTCCTGTATCTGTGTTTTGTGGCACTCCTCCTGTATCTGTGTTTAGTGCCACTCCTCCTGTATCTGTGTTTAGTGCCACTCCTCCTGTATCTGCATGTTTAGTGCCACTCCTCCTGTATCTGCATGTTTAGTGCCACTCCTCCTGTATCTGCATGTTAAGTGGCACTCCTCATGTATCTGTGTGTTTAGTGGCACTCCTCCTGTATCTGTATATTTAGTGGCACTCCTCCTGCATCGCTGTAAAACCCAATTTTTTCCCAATAGACAATGAATATCAGTTAAAATGACCATGGTTTTTATCTTTGTGTCATTCACCTTTAAATTCATTGCAATTTTGCTGAGTTCGCTGTAATCTCTCTTTATAGCATTTCTGTATGATTCCAGCTCATATCCCTTAGAATAGTACAACCAGTACATGAGTTCAATCAAATAGCAAGATTTCCCTACTAAATCCCTGTATTACACCATTAAAGACATACAAGACACAAATTTTTAATAGTCACTGGCTGATGAGAGTGAAAGGACATTTAAGTTTGGTTTGATTGTGTTTATAGTACATGACATTTCATAACTAAAAACTGATTTATAAACTGAACCAGTCCTATGAAACAGACAATCAGTTAAAAGTTGTCTCTTTGATATCAATATATATTGATGGATTAAAACAGGTATCTATATTAATTGATTAAAACGGGTATTTATATTAATTGATTAAAACAGGATATTAAAACAGGTATCTATATCAATTGATTAAAATAGGTATCTATATTGATTGATTAAAACAGATATCTATATTGATGGATTAAAACAGGTATCTATATTAATTGATTAAAACAGGTATCTATATTGATGGATTAGAACAGGTATCTATATTGATGGATTAAAACAGGTATCTATATTAATTGATTAAAACAGGTATTTATATTAATTGATTAAAACAGCATATTAAAACAGGTATCTATATCAATTGATTAAAATAGGTATCTATATTGATTGATTAAAACAGGTATCTATATTGATTGATTAAAACAGGTATCTGCAATGATGGATTAAAACAGGTATCTGTAATGATGGATTATAATAGGTATCTATATTGATTGATTAAAACAGGTATCTATATTGGTGTATTAAAGAATGCTTTAGCAATCATATAACCTGATTTTCAAGCAGGATGTACCGGAAATCTCCACTCAGTGTATAACAGAATAACATTAAGCCTACTAAGTTCTAACTGTTTATATCCAGATCTCAAACAATTGTATTGAGGACATGAGATTTGATTAAGTATCTGTTGGTAGATTGTTTGAAGGATCTACATGTACTCTATGTTTTTCCTGTGATGATCCGTATTGCTTGACCTGAAAATACAATGGAAATATGAACAATAATATTAATTAATGGGTTTAAGAGACTGGTATTAAGGATCTCAATCTTATAGTGATGATTTCTTGCAAATTCAAATTTATTATTATCGACCCTTTATGAAACCAGTTTATGTAGTGTATTTTATTAGTTGTAAGGTTTACTGTATATGTAGTGTATTAGTTGTAAGGTTAACTATATATATATTGTATCAGTTGTAAGGTTATAAACTGTATATATATTGTTTCAGTTGTAAGGTTTACTGTATATGTAGTATATCAGTTGTAAGGTTTACTGTATATGTAGTGTATAAGTTACAGGTTTACTGTATATGTAGTGTATTAGTTAAAAAGATTAACAGTATATATATTGTATTAGTTGTAAGGTTATAAACTGTATATATATTGTATCAGTTGTAAGGACTTTACTGTTTTTATATGTAGTGTATTAGTTGTAAGGTTAACAGTATATATATTGTATTAGTTGTAAGGTTATAAACTGTATATATATTGTATCAGTTGTAAGGTTTACTGTATATATATGTAGTGTATTAGTTGTAAGCTTAAGGTTAACAGTATATCTATTGTATTAGTTGTAAGATTTACTGTATATATATTGTATTAGTTGTAGGTTTACTGTATATGTAGTGTACTATAGTTATAGGTTTACTGTATATGTAGTGTATTAGTTGTAAGGTTAACAGTATATATATTGTATTAGTTGTAAGGTTATAAACTGTATATATATTGTATCAGTTGTAAGGT